ATCGAATAAGAATATCCAGATTGACCTGTTTACATGCAGAATTTTCGATCTGATTGGGCATTCAATCCGATTAAATATGCGCATGTAAACGTGGCTAGTGATCTCCACATGAAATACTTCAGGATGTCTGCAGAACAAATGGATCACATTCTGTCCTTGATAGGACCGGATCTCACAAAACTAAACACTAATTTCAGGGAATCAATCGAGCCAAAACAACGACTTGCTGTAACACTGAGGTAAAGTAAAAAATACATAATCACTGTCAGTCTATAATCTAACCCTTTCTGGCTATTTCTTTTTATCCTGTGATGATCATTTTGCTATCTTAATTTAAAAAATTTTATAGCTACATACTGTCACAAATCAAATCTTTCATTTTCATAATGGATACGTGTATTTATGAGAAAGTCTCCAAGAAATTATTCAAATGTTCAAGTAAATACAGAAATGTGTAATTCTTATTATTGTGACAATTTTTAATTTGTACTTTTAATAGTTTTATATAAAATATATAACTTTGTTTTGAAATAAAAACTAACAATCAAGTCAGGTGACCGTTCAGAAATATAGTTACAGATGTTGAAAGTTAATATTTGTAACTTAAATATGATGTCATTTATTTTCACAGATTCCTTGAACAGGCGAAACATTTTCCAGCCTGGCATTCCAGTACAGGCTAGGGAAAAGCACCGTAGCCAACTCAGTGCACATGACCTGCCGGGCAATCGAGAAGCGGATGAAACGCAGCCAGTTTACGCTATTCTCAGAGGAAATGTGGAGAGATGTAGCCTCTGCATTCTGGAAAGAATGGAACTTTCCGAACTGCATCGGAGCCATTGATGGAAAACACATAACCATAGCAGCACCCCCACATAGTGGAAGTGTGTTTGTTCTTCAACTACAAAAAAACATTTTCGATCATTTTGCTTGCACTGGTAGATGCCCACTACCGCTTCATCTACGTCCAGGTGGGGGACTAAGGACGGGCAAGTGATGGGGGCGTCTACAGTGGATCGCAGTTGGAAAACAAAACACCCCATGTTCCAGCCGACTGTACTCTGCCTGGAGCAGAACAACTGCCACTCCCATACACCATGGTTGGAGATGCAGCCTTCCCTTTGAAGACTTACTTGATGAGGCCATTCCCAGGAACACGACTTCCACCATGGCAAAAGGTCTTCAACTACAGACTCTCTAGGGCCAGAATGGTGGTGGAATGTGCATTTGGCATTCTTGCTGCAAGGTGGAGAGTGCTCTACACACGGATTACGATGACACCAGAGAATGCAGATGCCGTAATACTGGCAGCGTGCATCCTGCATAACCACCTGCTCAACCCAGCAGACAACCAGAGATTTTTGGATGAAGCACAAGAGCAGGGGGAACACCTCCAGGATGCTAGGAACATGGGTGGCAACAGAGGCTGCAGGGATGCTTACAACATCCGTGAGAAATTTGCAACATTTTTCCTTTCTCCTGAGGGCAGTGTGTCCTGGCAGGATAGGAGGCCGTGAGAGAAATAAATACAGCTACAGAGACATTGTGTAATCTGGCCTTTCCTTTTTTTCTCTTAATGTTGGCTTGCATTTCATGTGTTTTCCACAAATAAAAGTGAGTGAAAAAATGTAATCGTAGAATTTATTCAACATTAACATTTTTTTATTGATTTCACTAGAGAGATTTAATTACTCCTCTAAATGAATTATGACAGAATATTTATTGATGACTGCTAAAAAAATTTTTTTGGAAGGACTAGCTCAAACAGTAGGTTATGTTGCCTCAAGGGCAAAATGCCGATTATCACTTGTAAGTCGATTTGGACAAAAGCGTCTGCTAAATACATAAACATAAACATAAACATGTTATGATCTAATTGGTTAGAAATAAGGTATAAAGTATGGACTGATTTGAAAAAACAAAATTAATAAAAAAAAAATCAAGAAGGTCACTTTAAAGGATGTTTTTTTTAAATATGAGGGTTTAAATAAATAATTTATTAGGGATATTTATATTTGGAAAAAGCTATCATAGTACATTTTTTATCTGACAATACTACAATCTTTTGATTTCACAACATGTGTAGCACAGGGTAATTTTTTTGTATTTTATTTTCATTTAAGCAAGGGATTTCATGTTATTTTTTATTTTTTGAAGATAAATAAGTAAATTAAAGGGCAGCGTTACGTACTTAACTTGATTTAATGCGGTAAAATAGTGCATTTTTAGGTATGTTATGTTATAGGTAGATGCACTATAAATTCAAGAGTAAATGATTTGTCTTAGAACTTGTGGAACACCTATATATTTTAAAAAAGGGAAATACTTACTTGTAGATTCTACAGCTGTTGCTACAGCCTCCCAACAATTGTCCTTTCTGCTGTTGTCTTTGTAGAAAGGGTGTCGGGGGTCGTACAGCTCCTTGTGTTTCTCAACTTCCATAATTAATTTTAAGTCATCCATCTTAACTGCTTGCCTCAGACTTTCTGCCTCTCTGTCCTGTTTGCTCCGGAAAAAAGACACCCAAAACCACACCCCCTTCACGTGGTCACACACGCACACAAGCTCGATGTGTGTGTATGTGTGTGCGTGTTCGTGTGGTTCTTCTGCAGTGTCTGATTACGAACACATTTGACTATTGCAGAATTTTATTTTGAAATGCTTTATTTTGTTAAATTTACTGGCCTGCCTCTTATGTCTAGGTTTGACTTCCTGCCAGAATTGACGCGATTCACCTGCGGCTCGCGAAAAAAATAGAGCAGACGCCGAAACGATCGCTGCACGGCGCGAGGCGATTCGTGGCGCTTCGGCGGCCCATGTGGTCTATAGAATAGCTTAACAAGGGCGCCGAATGAAGGTGGTCCCATTTTCGCTGTGCTTCCACGGCCGGTGTGTCCCCGGCGTAATATGGTCCATTTTGGAGCACTTTGGGAATTTGATGATGTCATCATGCTAAATTAAAATGTGTAATATCTCAGATACCGTTGCAGCACAAACATCAGTTTCACCTGCACAAATCAGCACAAAGGAAGCACTAAAAAGTAGACTATTGTGGTCCATTTTGGAGTAGTCCGGGGGGGACGGTGACCTCTGAATGACCTATTGAATAAAGTTTAATATCTCAAAAACCATAGCAGCACAAACGTCAATTTTACCTGCACAAATCAGCACAAACGAAGCACTAACCGAGCAGTCTATTTGCCTCCACTTTTGAAGCTGACGGGGGGTCAGCTTCACAGAGCTCATCGATTTTTCATCTTAATTCTGTTATTTTGTCCAAACACTACCTGGATGATAGATTCAGTGAGGGGGTCTGTGATGACATTCAGCAGGTCAGGGGCGTTTTCTCCAGTCTGGATATTAAAGGACTCGATCAGGAGGAGGGTAAGTTTGTATAGAACACCTGTAGCTGCTTCCAAGGGAAGAAGGATAAGAACGGACAGCCAGTTGAAGAAATCGTCAACTGTGGCACCAGCAAAAGCCCTGGAAGTGCAGGAAAGTGCAGGTAAATATAGAATAGAATAGAATAAAACTTTATTGTCCACCATGGTGGAAATTTCCTTTTGCTCTCAAAAATACAAACAAAATTCATTCATGCATACATACATTCATGTGACACTATGTATATATTGGATTTGGTAGAATTTTTTACTTTTAGCAGCAGCTGCTTTGGTCTACCTGCGGAATTCGTTTCGATCTCCTGCCTGCATTGTGGCCACAATAGTGTTGGTGACAGAGGTCCCAATGTTGGCCCCCATGATGATTGGCACTGCAGACTTTACATCCAGCACTGAAGAGGAAAAACAGCTTTAAACCCATGGCCTCTGATGACATTTGTAATTCCAGCTGCCCTAAAGTGCAGACTTGTTGTACTGCTGGTTGCTCATGCAGCAAGGGTCTGAATGAACAAGTTGGTTGAATCGTGTATCTACTTACATCCAGAGGAAACCATGCTGACCACAATAGAAGAGGAGGTGCTGGAGCTCTGCACCAGTGCTGTGACTAACACTCCAATTACCAGCCCAGCCACTGGGTTGGATAACACAGCGTTGTCCTGGAAGATATCACCAGCAGCTTTTCCTGCATTTACAGAGGCTCACATCACTCTATACAATCCACAAAAGCACTAAAGTGAAGTGAACATGCAGTGATGGTGGGTCATGAAGACCCACAGTAATAAACATAACTAGTTACCTCCAATTAGCAAAAAAGCAGAGCCCAGAATATCCAGCGAGCAAATAAACAAGTAGAGAAATCCCAGCAGCAGAACCAGCTTCACAAGACCAGTCAGCACTCTTATTATCTTTCCTTTGGTGTCCAGCTCTGTATGAGGACAGAAATGACTGAGTCACAGTTGGGCTAAAAGCACATGCAGCATGCAGGATAGGAAGAATGCATCGCTGCCTCACCTGACCACTTGATCCCTGTGTCTTTGAGTTCAGGGAGATCCCAGGGATCTTCCTCAGGAGGCTCCTCATTCACCAAGTCCAAGGGGGAATAAGCTGGTGGGACATATTCCTCCTTACCCAAAGCCTTGTTATCTAAGGTTGGACAGAAAGGGCAAAGTTACATGAAACAATAATGCCGCAACAACAGCTGCACGATCTTTAAAGTAGTTTTAAAAGAACATACCTATAGTAGAGGAGGAACCAGTCCCTTCTTGTGGTCTTGGAGCCATGACTGAGTAATAAAGAATAAAATGTTCAAGCAGGAGATTAAAAAACAGTGATTAACTAATAGATAGAACAAAGTGTAAAATGACCTAATTGAATTTACCAATAACAGGCTTTTGAGTAATGTCTCAGGTGAACTTGAATGTTCCTCTAATGAAATACAGCATGAACGGTTTATAGAATACAACAAGCTAAATTTGGAGGCAGTGGGATTGATTACTGATGTTTTCCTTTTTAATAGCAGCTTCATTTTGCATGGTTCAGACTGGCCCTTCACCCTGACTAGATTGTGGATAACAAACACCTTCAGTCTTACAGACGTTTTTTATTCCAAAAGTTTATTTTATTTCCAGTTTGTTTCATTGCTGCTGTTTCATCTCATTAGAAGACAGGGTTACAGGTACAAAGCTGAAGTTTTTTTTTTTTTTTCAAATATCTTAAAAACTCAGAAACATTTTTTCCCACATTTTATTTTCATTTATTCATATTAAAATCAATGTACTACACTAAATTACTAAAACCAAAATGAAAAGGGGACAAAAAGAAGAAACTTCAATTTAGAACAAAATAGAAATTACCACAGTCATTTTTACATACATTCATTATAATAACAGAAAGTTGAAGTTGGTTCCCTTTCTGGTTTTCGATTCTGAAATTTGCTAAAGGGCAAGTCCAACTAAATCCTAAAATCACCAATCATCTTTATCTACTAAAATTGGAAAATTACAACACTTTTCAAACCTTGACTAGAATAATGTACCCAAGTTTGTTTATGTTCATGTATTTAGCAGACGCTTTAGTTCAAAGCGACTTACAAGTGATAATCGGCATGTTGCCCTTGAGGCTAACAACAACAATAACAACAACAACAACTTGACATCAGTCATGGAGAGTAGGGAACAAGGAGTGGACAGTAGAGAGGGGGGACGGGTGCAGACAAGGTGCTAGTTAAGAAGATGCTCTCTGAAGAGCAGGGTCTTCAGGAGTTTCTTGAAAATTGAAAAGGAAGCCCCTGTTCTGGTAGTGCTTGGAAGGTCATTCCACATTTGTGGAACGATGCATGAGAAGAGTCTGGATTGTCCCGAGCGTGGTGTAGGCGCTGCTAGATGATTGTGAAAGTTTACTAAAAAGCTATTTCAACACACTTTTCCATCTGGACCACATTGGAACTGCTCCAGCTAAAAAGACTGGGCTTTTCAAACTTGCGATAGGATCAGAATCACAGTTTGTTAATTGACATTTTTATTTGATTTGAGTAAGTTGTAGAAACAAATCCCAATTTCAGCACACTTTTTGCATCAAGACTCCATTTGAACCCGTGAAGAGCTTCTAAACGTCAGAAAATCAATGCCAACAGACCTACTTCCAGTTTTTTTAGTGGGTGTGGCGGATTTGGTCCACTTTTTAATTAAGAAAGTGAGACGCCGTAGGAGAGGGAAACGTGTGGGAGTGCTCGTGCATCTACGAAGACGCGGCTCACGTACGCCCTTACCTGGGATCTTCCTCTCCAATGTCCGCTCACTTAGCAACAAGACGGATGAACTGGCGTTGCTGATGAGACGAAACACAGACTTTTCTTCCTCTTCTGTCTTGTGCTTCACGGAGACGTGGCTCAACGAGCAGATCCCGGATTGCGCGCTCCATTTGGAGGGATTCCAGCTCCTCCGCGCAGACAGACAACGGGTCTTATCCGGAGGAAAGACAAAAGGTGGAGGTGTCTGCTTCTACATCAACAATGCCTGGTGTTCGGATGGGACTGTGATCTCCCAGTACTGCTCTCCTGCTCTGGAATTTCTCTTCATAAACTGTAAGCCATTCTACTCCCCACGTGAGTTTGCTTCATTCATTCTGGCTGCTGTTTACATCCCGCCTGGCGCGGACGTGCACAAGACTCAACGTGCGCTCGCGGAGCAGATCCTAAGTGTGGAACAGACCTTTCCGGACTCTCTAGTTATTATCCTCGGGGACTTTAACAAGGGAAATCTGAGCCAGGAATTGCCTGAGTACAAACAGTTTGTTAAATGCCCGACAAGAGAGCAGTACCGGTTGGACCACTGCTACACCACAGTCAGTGGAGCTTATAGAGTCGTGCAGCGATCTGCTCTCGGCTTCTCTGACCACGCCATGATTCACCTCATTCCCTCATATAGGCAGATGCTGAAGCTCTCCAAACCTGCAGTGAGAACTTCAAAGAAGTGGACCTGCGAGGCTGTGGAGGAGCTTCGCGTGTGTCTGGACACAACAGACTGGAACGTGTTTGGATCTGCCACAGACAACTTGGATGAATATACAGACACTGTGACGTCATACATAAAATTCTGTGAGGACAGCATTATTCCAACAAAAACCAGGGTCACTTTTAACAACGATAAGCCCTGGTTCACACCCAAACTGAGACAGCTGAGGAGAGAGAAAGAAGCAGCCCACAGAGCCAAGGACAGAGAAAGCTACAAGGGCGCTAAGTACCAGTTCTCAAAAGAGTTGAAAAAGGCGAGATCCTGGTACAATATGCGTCTAAAGGAGCAGTTCTCTGACAATGATACAGCCTCTGTCTGGAGAGGGCTAAGGCAAATCACTAACTACAAGCCTAGAGCCCAACATGCTGCTGACGACCTACAACTGGCTGAACAACTCAACTCCTTTTATGCAAGGTTTGAAATGCAACACCCATCCCCCACACCCCCTACTGCACAGGTTTCTTCAGCCACTCTGGTGTCACATGCCTCCCCCACCACCTTCACCACTGTGAATAGTACAGTCCCCGCTGACCACCCCTCCCCCTCCACTGCCTTCTCAGTGACAGAAGAGGATGTGCTTAGGGTTTTGCTTAAGCAAAACCCACGGAAATCCCCGGGCCCGGACGGTTTCTCCACCGTTAACCTGAGACACTGCGCAGAGGTATTGTGTCCAATCTTCACGGACATCTTTAACATCTCCCTGGAGTCCTGCCATGTTCCAGCCTGCTTTAAGCTGTCCACCATTGTTCCTAAGAAACCCCGTATCACTGGACTGAATGATTATAGGCCTGTGGCGCTGACGTCTGTAGTCATGAAGTCTTTTGAGCGCCTGGTCCTCCCTCATCTCAAGTCCTTAACCTCCCCCCTCCTGGACCCTCTGCAGTTCGCATACAGAGCTAATAGGTCTGTAGACGACACCATCAACCTGGCCCTCCACTTCATCCTGCAGCACCTGGACTCCCCGGGAACCTACGCTAGGATCCTGTTTGTGGACTTCAGCTCTGCGTTCAACACCATCCTCCCTGCTCTGCTCCAGGACAAGCTCTCCATGCTCAACGTACCCAACTCCACCTGCAGGTGGATCACAGACTTCCTGACAGACCGAAGGCAGTGCGTGCGGCTGGGGAAGAATGTTTCCACCACTAAGACTATTAGCACAGGATCTCCACAGGGCTGTGTACTCTCTCCTTTGCTCTTCTCCCTGTACACAAACTGCTGCACCTCGAGCCATGACTCCGTTAAACTGATCAAGTTTGCGGACGACACCACCCTCATCGGGCTCATCTCTGACGGTGATGAGTCCGCCTACAGGAGGGAGGTGGAACGGCTGGTGTACTGGTGCAGCAGCAACAACCTGGAGCTCAATGCTCAGAAGACAGTGGAGATGATTGTGGACTTCAGGAAAGTCACAGCCCCATCTCTCCCCCTCATCCTGACGGACACCCCCGTCACCACTGTGGACTCCTTCCGCTTCCTCGGAACCACCATCACACATGACCTTAGGTGGGAGCCATCCATCAGCTCCCTGATCAAAAAGGCCCAGCAGAGGATGTACTTTCTGTGGCAGTTGAAAAAGGCCAAGCTGCCGGCCCAGATGATGGTGCAGTTTTACACGGCCATCATTGAGTCCATCCTCACCTCCTCCATCGCTGTGTGGTACGCTGGAGCCATGGTGAGGGACAAACATAGACTGCAGCGCATTGTGCGCTCTGCTGAGAAGGTGATTGGCTGCAGCCTTCCATCTCTCCAGGACCTGTACGTCTCCAGAACTCGGGGGCGTGCAGGTCCGATAGCAGCTGACCCTTCGCACCCGGGTCACAGACTTTTTGAGCCGCTCCCCTCAGGCAGGAGGTTACGTCCATCCGGACCAGAACCTCCCGCCATAAGAACAGCTTCTTTCCATCTGCCATTAGACTTGTGAATAGCTTATAAACACACAACCATGCTGGTCTTCTGTACTCGACACAACGTCACGTTATCGGCCATATTACCATTACCTGCCATTGTTTATCGCTGAAAGTTTTATTCTAGTTTTTTTTATTATATTTTATTCTATTTTTAATCTTATTATTCATGTTATATGTAGCACATTAGTACCGAAGCAAGTTCCTAGTTTGTGAATTGTTTGTTCACTGACAATGGCAATAAACCTATTCTGATTCTGATTAGTTTAGTCTAGTGGCTAGAGTCATTAGCCAAAATGTGGTAAAAAAAATTTAAATTAAAAAAAACAACAAGTAAAACAAAAAGATGACATGGCTTCTTAGGGGTACAAGAAAAAAACTTCAGGGTCACTCCTGTTTACTGGCTTCAGTTCTCTAAACACCTCTAGAGCTTTACACCTGCTGGTGTCAAATTACAAATGTTGGCGCTGAAGCTGGAGATCTGTGCAAACTCTGCAATCCACGGGCTCACAGATTGTAAACCGTGGCTGCGTCCCTCTTTGGCCATTTTGAAAGAAGAAAAATCGGAAACCCCCAGCCTGCTGAGAATGAAATCGGTTTCATTGTAACCTTCCTTCCAACTTGTGATTATTGCCTTGCAAAATTCTTACTTGTTACTCCTTTAAAATACTGCTTTGTGATGATGACATGTTAAATCTTTTGATCCCACATGAATGATTATTCTTTTAACTGAGGTTGGGATGAAACATAGATCAGGAATTTTATCCAGAATATAGCAGGGGTGGTGGATGATGGAAAACATCACATGATGATCTGGAGGGTTAAATGTTTCATTTTGAAAATGTAGTCATTTGTATACATGTAATAAAAAAACACACACCTACATACAATTTGTTTTTTAAACTTACTACGGTAAGTGAAATACAATATAATTCATACTTAATTTCAAGCTCAAATTTGATTAAAGGGGTTGTCAACCCTGCCTCAGAGTCCTTCTC